CGAAACATTAAGTCTTAGCAAGTAAGCAAAATGTTGAATAGGCTGGACTAAATTCCAAGCCAAGCCGACGCAAAGAGCTGAGCTTTCTAACACGAAGCCTAAGCCGACCGTAAGCCAAGCCTAAGGAAACGCTTATCTTCATTCGAAGCCTGAGCCCAAGCATAAGAAAAACCTATAGAAAAGCTTGAGGCCAAGCCCAGCTCTAGCCTCAGCCTAAGCCTAACGCAAGCCGAAGTTAAGCTTATAGAAGAGCTTGAGGCCAAGCCAGACCTAAGCCCAAGCTCAAACCAAAATCGAAGCCAAAACGGCGGCCGGGGTCAGAAAAGGCGAGGCGATACGATGCGATACGATGGACAGGACAGAAGGAGGACTCCGCTTCGGTGTTCGGAAGATGATTGTCTTCTTCTTCTTCTTCTCCTCCTCCCTATCTTTGCTATTCTTTGCCCCCCTCCCGGTTGCTGGTTCTTTTCTGGGCCCACCCCCCGTCCGTTCTGCTCCTGTTTGCACCGTCACGCCTCGCATACACACACACAAAGATGTGCGGGGTGGCCCTTCAGGTGATGGGACTAGAGGAGGGAAGGGGGGACATGGGTTCTTCGCTGGAGGGGCCAAATGGCCCGGGCGGGATGGGTCAGATGATAAGGGAAAAATTTGAAGTAGAATTTGGGAGACGGCGAAGCTCGCAGACACCGATGTAATGGCCAATCCCTTCTCGCTCTCCCGCTCTCTCTATCACTAGTTGCCGCTCTCTCTCTTTCTTTCTCTCTCTCTCTCTCCCTCGCTCTCTCTCGTTCTCTCTCGCTCTGTCTGCATCCCTTTCCATCTGTCGCGCTCTCCGACATGCTCTCTCTGAAACACTCTCTCTATCTCGCTCTCTCGCTCTCCCTCCTCCCCCAACTCTCTCTCTATCTTTCTCTCTCTCTCTCTCTCTCTCTCTCTCTCTCTCTCTCTCTTTCTGTCTTACGACTACGGGTATTGAATTAAAAACAATCGAATGAATCTCATTAATTTTTCATAATTTGATGTTACTAAATTCCCTCTTCAAGGGGCAAGCAAGTTATGGATTTTCTTTAGCTCGTTTCTTGCTGAGTCCTTTAAAGCCCAGTTTCCCCCAAATTGAAGCCCTCGAGTGAAAGCCAAGCAACCAACTAGTAAAAGCCGCCGGATATCTGCCCCAGAAATCGGATCAAGATGGAGTGAAGAGTGGAAAAGCCGCCCCCCGGGCTTCAACTCGAGATCGTAATTGGTTGTCTCGCGGAGCAGTCTTGATTAAGTCCCCCCATTAAAATAGTCCGATGGGTCTCGGAGCGCTTCGATGTCGACGGAGGTGTCCGTTGATTTTGATTCTCTTTTTGGTATTCATTTTGCTGATGATAGGGGTGCTGTGGGGCCGGAAGCATACTGTACATCGTGCTATGAATTCGTCACAGGTCAGTGTTTTCTTGGTGGGGAAAGGGCGTTGGTTAGCATACCTGGAGAGAGAGAGAGAGCGAGGGAGAGAGAGATGGAAAGAGAGAGCGAGGGAGAGAGAGCGAGGGAGAGAAAGAGATGAGAGCGGAAGGAGAGATACAGTGCAAGTGAGAGAGATAGAGAGAGACAGAGAAAGCTAGAGAAATTACCCATTTTAACCTTTAGGACACCCCAGAAGAAGAAGACTACGTCGACGAGGGCCTACGCGCCATCAAAAACAAGGAAAAGCAGCTGCTCGAAGAGAGGAGGGAGAAGGCGGCGAGGGCAGAGAAGCAGGAAAATGTTGTCACCACCCGGAAACCGGTGATTTTAATGGGAGTATAGACAAAAAGTGTAGCACTGGGCTACGGTAAAAAATATGCCATATAAATTCTTGGCTTTCCAGGTACCTTAAAAATCGAGTTATCGTGTTTCTTTAGAAACGGCAAAAGCGTAAGAAAATCTTGGAAAAAAGCGGTGGGCTTTTGAAGAGTTTGTGGAAGGGCTGGACGTGGGTGAGCGAGTTTACAAAGGTACGGTATTTTGTTTATCTTCCTCTCTCTCCATCTCACTCACTCTCGCTCTCTCTCTCTCTCTCTCTCTCTCTCTCCATCTCTCCCTCTCTCTCTCACCTAATCCCATTTCTTAGAAGCCCTTCAACATCACTATTTTCAATTCGGACGAAGATTCGGATATTGAGCCCCAGTGGGCCCAGAAAATGGAGGGTCAGGTAGATTTTCTTGGTTTTTTGATTTAACGTTTTTAGACTTGCACCTACTCCCTGGCAAGCCATGAAAAACCGGAGAAGCGGAAGCGGAAAGCGGGTGGAGATGGGAGATTGCCTTGTGGATATGAATGGATATCGAATGGGATTGAGATGGAGGATACGGCATTGGCTGAATTGGACGCGGAGGGGAGGACACGGAAAGCACCAATAAAGGAATATGCCAAGCATCGGAAGCCAAAGGAGATGAGGTGTGAGAGCGAGAGAGAGTGAGAGAGACAGCTCAACAGTTAGAGAGAAAGAGCGTGAGTGAGCTCAAGAGCGATTGTAAGCGAGACAAAGTGACGGAGCGAGATAGAGAGACAGCTAGACAGCGAGAGAGAACGAGAGAGCGAGAGAGAGAGTGAGTGAGTGAGACGTGCTTAAACGCACCGTGTCGCCTTTCCAGTGGCCCAATCGACCCAATCTCCAACGTCCTCATCTATCTGCTCCCCAGCATGGGTTTTGCTGAGGTGACCCTAAAGACAATTCCCCCAATTTCCATCGTTCCAGATCGAGCAGAGAATGCCCCTCACCCATCGCCTCTTCCAGAAGTATGGCGTCGTCGATTTTCCAGGTTCCGCAAATCGTCACTGCTAGCCTGCCCTGTTTAGGCGATTTTTAGAGAGCAGCATTTTTAGGTTTTCACCGTAGCTCGGATGGTCCGCTGCCATCCCTACTTCCGTTGCTAACCGGGCGGAACATGAGCAGTTTGCCGAATATTTTGTGGGCTTCGGGCAATCGATCTCTGTCTCTCTCTCTCTCGCACTCTCTCAATGTTTCGCCTTTTTACTCCCCCCTTTTCAGCGCAACCGATCCACCCTCCACCTCCGAACACCTCGAAGACCTCGTCCCTCTCATATTTGCCAATTTCTCCGCGGCCGACTACTCGACTGCATTTGCTGAACATGGCCGAGGTATATTTCAAGCTTTATTCTACCGTATACACAATTGTTATAACCAGATTATTTCCGTAAAATCCGTCGTACTCTATCTCGCAGCGACGCTAACCGGGGTCGTTTCTCTAGTTTTTGAAGCGCGGCTTGGGAAGTGAGGGCCCGAGTGATTTTCGTTGTTGCCTAGAAATGTTAGGTTAAGATAGAGAGAAAAAGAGAGAGAGAAAGACAGAGAGAGAGAGAGAGAGTGAGAGCGAGAGCGAGAGAGAGAGAGCGGAAGAGAGACTGACCCGTTTGTAGAGGACGCTGGAATGAGCACGGAGTGTGGCGAGGTTTTGTTCGACTAGCACTCCTGAAAAAAGTTTTTATATAAACTTTCTATCATTTGCTGGCGCTCACTTTCTCTCTCGCTTTCTCTCTCTCTCTCTCTCTCTCTCTCTCTCTCTCTCTCTCTCTCTCTACTTACCAAAACTGAGGGCGTCCTGGTGAAGCTGTGTGGGGCGGGAACTGGCCAATCTTTTTTGGGATCTCTTCAAATACAGTAGCCGCTCAATCCGGGTCTGAACGGCTTCGCGTCGTGCCGGTTCCATTGTCGAGACGAGGTCAGCGAGGAGACTCGCTAAAAATTTTTTGCTTGGACGCTTTCGTTAAAGCATCTCTCGCTCTCTCCCGCTCTCTCACGCTCTCACTCTCTCTCGCTCTCCTCTCTCTCTCTCTCTCTCTCTCTCTCTCTCTCGCTCCTACCGTATGGCCCATCCACAAATTCCGGTTCTTTCCGCTCTTCCACCACCTCAGCAATTTCCGCGTAGGTGTTTGCAAGCTTAGCGACAATGTTCTGAAAAATCATTTAAAATTTTATTCATATGATTTCGTAAAAAGCAAAAAGTTTCGCATCAGGCGGGGGTCGTGCCCGGGTCTTGTGGGTGGCGAGCGAGAGCTTTCGCAATGCACCAAAGGTGAATACACTTTTTCCGGTTAACTCGCTTGAAACTTACCCTCGAGTCGAGGTTATAATAATACGGGCGTGGGGAGGAGGAGGGTAAATTAGCATACATGCTGAGGATGGTAGTGGAAATGGAGTGATAATAAACGTTGGGAGTTGGGGCCCGTGAATGGCTGTAGGGGGCGTATCCCAATCGGACTGCAGGTGGGTACCGTACCCCCGGCATGGGTAAGATGCCCTCCGGGTAGAACACCCACTTCCAGCTGGCTCTCTCTCTCTCTCTCACTCTCTCTCTCTCTCCGTTTCGCACCTCTGTACTGGTCTGAATAATTCCCAACCCCCTTGGGATTCGGGTCCTTTATAATAGGATAATTTCCATGGAAATTATGCGCTATAAAATCGTGTTTTGGATCTGGCTCCCAAGCGATCAAAGACCGGTGAATTTCTTTGAAAGATCAAACAATCTCTGCTAGCCGCAAGGGGATTCTTAAAGGATCACGGCTAGTTGCCTACAAAATTCCCTAATGACCCATGCTAGCAGCCAGGGAATCTTAAAAGGGCCTCTGCTAGCTAAACAAAAATTCTTCAAAAATCTCTGCTAATCGGCCAAATTCCAAAGTAATCTCGGCTTGGAGCGATTTTTTTTTAAATTCAAAATGGCCTTTGCTAGCTGACGCCATTCCGAAACGACTAGCTGACCAGATGCCCAAATGATCTTTGCTAGTTGCTGCAACAATTCCTAAACCTCCTCTTTGCCAACACTTTTCCACTTTTCAGGCCTTTTCGAGCCTCCAGTCATTCCATTCGGCACTCGCCCACTGCAAGAACATCTCCGGGTCAAGGGAGAATGCCAGCAACGGGTCGGTAGAGTTGAGAAGGCATTCTACTCCGTTTTCTAGCTACTTTTCGAGGGTGTCGAGCGCTTCCTGGCCGAGCAGCGCGCATTGCAAAAGCGGCGTTTCGTTTTTGTATCGTTTCACCGGCATCGGGTCGAGGAGTACGGTAGGTAGGGCGACGGTAGAAATACGAAAACTGTAAAAATTCGTATTTTGGCTGAGCACGGTAAAAACAGGGGAGCAGGAGCTATAGATTAGCGTTGTAGCGAAATTACTGTAGAATTGAGGTGGAAATCGTTAAAGAAATCACCACATTCTTTAGATTCTCACATCTATGATCATCTACAAAAGCTCGCCGAGGGCCGCTTCTTCAATTCGATATTTTCCATCTTCCTATCGCTCGATCCGGGGAAGAATTTGGGAAATCAAAGAGCGGTTCGTACTTTGCCGTAAAAATACGGTTAAAAACACAGAAAAAAACATTAATTTTAGCTCCGCCCCTTTTTGACCATCTTTGCGTCGAGCAGCACGACGAAAAGACGGCTCGTTGAGTGAGTATTTTGGGTTAAAATGCCGTTCCTATGCCGTGTTTTCAGGAATCGCCATCGGCCGATCACTCCCTTTGATTTGCATGCGACGCTGCTCGACTTGCTCGGGCTCAAGGAGGACGAGCAACAGCGTACGGGTACCAAGCTCTTATGTCGCATTAATGGGAATTTAGGGAAAGGGCAATCCATGCTGGAAGCGATTCCAAAATCGAGGGGCTGCCTTGCGGTTCGTGTTTTTACGGGGTATCGGAAGCTAAGGTCTAGCCAAATGGCCTTAAAAATTCCGCAAAAATCACTGATAGTTGCCTAGGAATATCCTAACTTGAGCTTTTGTTTTACACAAAAAATGTCGATTTTTCCCGCCTAATATTCCCCAAAAATCTCTGTTAGCCTCCTGCCTCCAGGGCCTTTTAGAACCTCCTAAAATCCTAAAAAAAATCAGGCTCAAATCCCGTTGCACCACTGCACCTGCCAGACGCCAAGGATGCTACGCGGCGAGGAGCTAGCCGGGATTGAGACGGTTGTAGTTCGGAGGGTCCGGAATTCTGAATATCTAGGCCGGCCTGGCAATCCTGCTGCACACACTTGATTACCGCTGCGCCGAGGAGGACTGCGGGTTTTTGAAGGCGCCCAAAGTTGTGGCGGCAGAATGGTGCGTGGGGTCGTTTTTCGAATTCCAGCCATAATACCGACACCTAAAATATGGAAATTCTAAATACCGACATAAAGTACCGAAATTGTCGGTATTTAGAATGGTTTTTTTGTTGTTGCATCAGAGGTGTAGCCTCTAGCCGCGAAAAATTGTAGTTTGTAGGCGGGATATGCGTCGAGCGTGATAACATTTTTATATCTTTTGTAGTCTGTAGCCTGTGGTGATATCAATTTCTAGGCGTACCCCAAACGAGGATTTTCTCTCGTATTCCGGCGTTGTGTCGAACAGTACCGAGACCCCGGTCTTCAATGCTAAACGGCGGCCCGTCGAGGGGTTTCTCGATATTCGGCTTCAACTGCCTGGCGCAAGGATTACGGTAGGTTGCCCAGAGCTTGAAAATGACCGGAACGGCTACGGTACATCTTAATTCAGGCGTTACTGTATCTGAACGTGGCGACGCGGCGCGCTAGCATTGATGTTGCCGGAATACGGGGCCGAATCGACAGTTCTTCGGGTGTGCAGAGGAGTGGAGGGGAATCGATCGATTGGAAGGAGATGTTGAATATTCATTGGGAGCAATGATAAAGTTTTTTTTTTGAATGCTTGAAACCACGATTCTGGATTGGGGGAGAGAGCGAGAGAGTGAGAGAGAGCGCGCGAGAGAGAAAGATATAGATAGAGAGAGAGAGCGAGAGAGAAAGATATAGATAGAGAGAGAGGGGGTAAGAGAGAGAGAGAGAGGGAGCGAGAGCGAGAGAGAGAGAGAAAGAGAAAGAGAGCGATAGAGAGAGAGGGTGAGTGAGAGAGAAACCGATAGAGCGAGAGAGTGAGTGAGAGACAGAGTTAGTCAGAGAGACATAGAACGAGAGGGAGAG